GAATAAAATAACACAAATTCACTCACACGATAACAAAAACTCGAACAAACGTTTTTACACAATAAAACTGCCAAAGTTTGATCCACAAAATCAGCAAATAACGTATTTTCTTACCTTATTATTATAATGAAGTAGCCTACTGGGTTCTCTGTCACACACAGAACGCGACGTTGCCGCTTCGTGTTCGAGTACCTATTCGTCAATTATGGCTCCGGATCCACTTAGTCTAAGTAAATGTCGCATATAAATTAAATATACTCTGGATCTAAAAAATCATATTCAGTATGATTTTTTCGACCGTTGATAGATCAACAAATGTTGGTCAAATCGCTGACGAGTATATTGAAATCCTGTTAGTGCAGATCCACCGACGTCACACGCGCATCAAGAATGGATCAAAGTATATCAGTTTGTGCGACAAGGAGCTGAGCAAACACGTCAAATAGGTGGATCAACAATTGTTCTAACTTCTCACTGGATCAACATTTACCGTGAAAGGATGATAATAATATATATATATATATATATATATTGAAGTTGCGTAAGTCCTGCCGCATGCATTTGGAGATCTGTCTATTCAGTTGCCTTTATGCTGTCAAATCTGCTGACGACTGCAGCTTCATCTCCCGTCTAATATCCATAAGATTAAGAGTATGATCGGAGAGTTTCTGTGTTCTTCTGTGGCGGGTCTTGTAGAACTTAGCTCCGACCGCATGGACAGTTTTCACGAGCTTGTCATTCATATCGTCCACTGTATTGCAGTCATCTAGGCACTGAAAGCGGTTTCGTAACTCGAGCTGAAAAGTTTCGAGATGCTGGATCAGAGCACGAGGGGGACGGAGCGTTGACTTCATTAGACGAGACCTCTCCAACTTAACGATAAGGTTCAGTGTGCCTCTAACTATTCAGTGATCGCTGCCAGTTTTCACCCTTGCAATCACTGAGACATCACTGAACAGTTGGCGTCTGGTTGTCATAATGAAGTCAATCTCATTTTTTGTCGAACCTCAAGTCTCATTTTTGTTGCACGTGAAGTGGAAGCTGCTTCCGCGTTTCGTCTGGTGAATGCAGGTGACCGGAGGCCCAAATCCTCCCCACCCCCATCAACATGGTAGCGGATATAATGATGATAGACTACCCCAGGAGGGTACCAGCACCCCTGGAGAATCCCTCGCTGAGCATCCACGACCATATTTCTCCACTCCTGAGCGTGGGTGCTCAGTCTGCCCCGCGTATCCTTTGGGCGAAATTCCGCTCAAGACTACAACTGCTCGGGGCAAACGGAGCAACAAGACCAAGGCGACCCCTGCCACGCTATCCGTGAATTTCTGCAATATCAGGGGACTTTAACCTAAACGCCGTCCACTACCATCATGAGACGGCGAGGCCGGCTCTGCTCTTTCTGACCGAGACGCAGGTGTCCTCTCCGGCTGATGTCTCGTATCTCTTCTACACGGGGTACAAACTGGAACACTCCTTTGTGCCTCGGGCAGGAGTTTGCGTTTATGTCAGAGAGGACATCTATTATCGACGCCTCGGCTAATTTGAAGGTTCGGACCTGTCCATCCTTTGGCTACGCGTAGACAGCGACGACCATCCGCGCGTCTACGGGTGCCTCTATAGGTCCCATAGCGGTAATTCCGAAACAGACCGACTCTTCGACCACGTCCAAATGGCTACAGATTCGTTGCTACAGCAGATCCCCTCCGCAGAGATCGTGATCCTCGGCGACTTTAACGCCCATCACGCCGAATGGCTTGGTTCACGTTTAACCGATCATGCTGGGAGATCTGTTCATGATTTTGCCTTGGCATATGGTCTGACACAACTGGATACTTCGCCTACGCGGATTCCAGATGTGGAGGATCATGCACCTTCCCTGCTGGACCTTCTGCTGACCTCTCACCCGGACGGATATCAGATTTCCGTCGACACCCCTTTAGGCTCCTCGGACCATTGTCTTGCCCGGAGTGTGGTACTCACGCTGAAATTGCAGTTGCATTCTACAGGCTGCCGCAGTGTTTGGCACTATAGGTCAGCCGATTGGGATGGGATGTGGTCTTTCTTTGCATCCTACCTTTGGGGGCGGGTTTGCTTCTCGCCGGACGATCCCAACATTGTTACGGATTCTGTCGCTGATGTGGTACTTCAGGGTATGGAACTTTTTATTCCTTCCTCTCCATTGGAGGCAAATCTCAGCCATGGTTTGGTCGCTCCTGTAAAATAGCATCATGCTATAAGCAGGAGTGCTACCAAGCCTGGGCTGATGCCTCAACGTCCCGGGATGTAAACACCAGCGCTCTAAAAAAAGAAGTACAATTCCGCCTCTAGGTCCTTCAAAAGAGTCATTTCCAAGGCAAAGTCAGAGCATATAGGCAGAATTGGCGAGAAACTAGTTCGCCTTCCTACTGGAACCCGTGCATTTTGGTCTCTCGCCAAGGCTGTCCAGAGGAATTTCTGTCAGCCATCTCTTCCATCTCTACATAGGGAGGACGACTCACTAGCCCATACCACAAAGGAGAAAGCCGATCAGCTAGGCTCTAACTTTTCGTCCAACTCGACTCTCGATGATGGGGGGAGTACGCCGCCGACCATCCCGCGGTGTGAGTGCTCCATGCCGAAAATGCAGTTCACACAGCGCTCGGTTCGCAAAGCACTCCTCTCCCTGGACATGCACAAGTCGAGTGGGCCTGACGGTAATTCCCGCAATTGTGCTGAGGACGTGTGCTCCAGAGTTGGCACCGGTTTTAACGCGTCTTTTCCGGTACTCCTACTCCCTAGGCGTAGTCCCAAAATCATGGAAGACGGCTTTCGTCCACCCGATACCTAAAAAAGGCGACCGCTCAGACCCGTCCAACTACCGGCCTATCGCCATCACCTCCTTGTTCTCGATCGGGTTTGGCACAAAGCGCTTCTTTCGAAGCTCCCTTCCTATGGGCTTCCCGAGAAATCGTGCGATTAGATCACCAGCTTTCTTGCAGATCGGAGCATCAAGATCGTTGTAGACGGTACAAGCTCCGATTACAAGCCTATTAATGCTGGTGTTCCACAAGGCTACGTGCTATCGCCAACGCTGTTTCTTCTGCATATCAACGATATGTTGCAAACCCGTAACATTCATTGCTATGCAGATGACAGCACTGGTGATGCTCTGTACACTGGCCGTGCCAATATTTCTCGGGAAAACGTCTCCGAGTACCGGGACAAACTTGTGTCTGAAGTCGAGTCTTTGCTGAACAGTCTCGGATTGGGGGCGACTAAATCTAGTCCAGTTTAACCCCCAGAAGACACAAGTTTGCGTATTAACCGCTAAAAAGAACCCCTTTGTCGTATCTCCTCAGTTTCAAGGCACTCCCCTTGTTGCCTCAGCCAGTATCGGAATCCTAGACATATCGAGTGACGTGCAGTTTCGTGGTCACTTGGAAGAGAAGGCCAAATTGGCCTCTAAAAAGCTTGGCGTACTCAGTAGAGCGGGACAGTATTTCACGCCGGCACACCACCTGCAATTTTACAAGGCGCAAGGTCGGCCGCACATGGAATACTGTTCCCATCTCTGGGCTGGGGCTCCCCAGTACCAGCTCCTTCCACTTGACCGCATCCAGCGCAGAGCGGCTCGAATCGTCGACGACCGAGTGCTTTCCGATCGGCTCGATTCACTGACGCTGCGAGAGATGTAGCATCTCTTTGCGTTTTCTTTCGCATATACCATGGGGAATGCTCTGAGTAATTGTTCGAATTAATCCCAGCCGCCAAATTTTGTGAACGCACTACGCGGCAAACGTCCCGATACCATCCACACCATCTGGATGCTTGGCGGTCCACCACTATACGTTTCAAAAAGAGTTTTCTTCCCCGTACAACCTCTCTGTGGAATAGTTTACCACCGGCGATTTTTCCGGACCGCTACGACCTGGGGAGATTCAAGAAAAGAGCTTACTCCTTTCTAAAGGGCCGGCAACGCACCTGCAATTCCCCTGGTGTTGCGGTTGATCATGGGCGGCGGTAGTCACTTAACATCAGGTGAGCCGCATGCTCGTTTGTCCCCTCTTCTATAAAAAAAAGACAAGATAGAGACGACGTGTAAACGATGAGATTGTTTTCGGTCAGTCGTGCGTAGGGTATGGTGCACTAGTCAAGTTTGTTTGTAATTCAAAATCGCTGTTAGTGATATTAAATATTTCCTACCATGTTTCAAAAGTGCATAGTTTTTTTTATACTTTTCAAAAGCTTTGTCCCACAACACGGGTCGTGCCTCCACTAAGCTTATTGCTTATAAGCGTATACTCAGTCGCATTTTTGATTCCATCCCGAAGCCGCGTAATAAACTGAATACTTGCATGTAAACAAGTCCACACAGGTACAAAATTACTCAAATTATCTGAAGCACCTCACCTACTCCGCCCCTCCCTTGACCGCAACAATACAGAGCTCGTCGTGCCTAGCGCAGACAAGATGCTTAGCACGCTGGAGCGTTGTACACAGTTCGTGTGTGAAAACGACACGAATTCTTGCATAGACCCGGCGACTTTTCTTAGCGTTTACAAGCAGCCTATCAGTATCCATACTACCAATAATATTATCGATAGTAACCGACCCTCAATTACGCTATTAAGTTATACAGTAATATAATTCAAAAATGTAGTTACAGCCTACATACGTCCCACTGCTGGCCACAGGCCTCCCCTCATTCCTGAGAGGGTTTTAGGGCAAGGAAGTGTCCGTCGCGCTGCCCCAATGCGTGTTGGCGAACTTCACATGTTTCGAAATATTTTTTTCTTATTCCTCAGACATGCGGGTTTCCTCACGATGTTTTCCTTCACCGCCGAGCACAATTTCAAAAAACAATTTCATTAGTGCCGACGGGGCTCGAAACCGGGTTACTCGCGTTCTGTTATATTTACAGTGAGCGTTAACAATCTGAGCTACCACTACTCTTATATATCTATAATTATATATCTAAATAATTCAAGTAGTAGTATAATTCAATTTACGATACTTACTTGATGTCGTAATCATCTGTGCCCATTAGGAACTTGTATGTAGGTGGGAATCTAATTTCAGGCTCCGTAAATTCAGAAAACGCCTCACCGGTCTCCATTACAGCGATTAACTGATCATGCCTTAATAGACCCGTATATTTATCCTTTTCCACTTTCCGCAAAGCGGCGACGATCTCTTCCGATGTTGGACAGTCGCCAGCCGGATGATCCGTGCGAAAGTTTAAGTCTCCAATCCAAAACACGTAGCTGCAAAACCAACCACACATTTAAAAAAAAACCGTTACCAACATAGTAGAGCTTCTTTTACCGTTTATGAGTGCGTTTTAGTTGGTCCACTCCTCTCTTACTTATTTTTCAGCATTCACCATTGTTTAGTTTCAGTTAAAATGGAATAGAAAGTCAGTATAATTAGTTCATACGTGGTAGAGCCACGCAACAGCTATATTATGGTTGTACCACGAAAGGGTCGGGTCGACCGGGGAAGGACCACACTCTCACAGAATACCAGCGAAAATAGCAGCTTGATGCTGCTGTTTCGTATGGTAACTGTAAAGAACCGGAAACCCGTTTTACTGGAATCGAGGCATTCCATCTTAGTCCTCAGAGGTGACAACACATCTGCATTTTGATTATTAATCGAGGTTAAATGTAGATGTCTATGGGTCACAGCATCCACATACCATCAGGTGGACTGTGTCCTCATTTGTCACCCTTACCCTATTAAAAAATACACGGTAGAGCCACGCTGCAGGTTTATTATGGTTGTACAACGAAAAGGTCGGTTCGACCAGGGAAGGACCACGCTCTCACAGAATACCAACGTAAAATAGCAGCTTGATGCTGCTGTTTCGTATGGTGACTGTAAAGAACCGGAAACCCGTTTTACTGGAATCGAGGCATTCCATCTTAGGCCTCAGGGGTGACAACACATCTGCATTTTGATTATTAATCGAGGTTAAATGTAGATGTCTATGGGTCACAGCATCCACTTACCATCAGGTGGACTATGTGCTCGTTTGTCACACTAATTCTATTTTTAAAAAGGCTGTGGGGCATTCTATGCTTATCGTAAGAAGTGAGTAAGAGGAGCAGGAGTAATCTTCCTTTTTAGAAGCTGTTTACTCTGTCTTTTAGTTACAATATCTTGTTTACGCGAACGCTACACATTTAAATAAAACTAATTTTTACTTATTTTATCGTGTATATTAACTGATATTGTATACCCGACGTATCGAGCACTTAACAGCACGCATGGTCACGGGAGGTGGAGGGGGAGGGCTGAGGTATTCGACGTCCCCTATGTCATTGTTGGCGACGCGCCTATAAAAATGTTTCAGTTTATTAAATCAACCGATGACGTTGCTATGAAAAAAGGGGCAGTCACGAGCAACGACGCTCTGATAAGAGAATGCTTAGTTAAATCTTTAAGAAATGTCGAATTAATGATATGAAGGTCTTGGGTTCGACTCCCAGGCCGGACTAGTTTGTTTGTTTTCCTAAGTAATATCGCTTAATAAATTCGTAAGGAATTTAAGATATAAATTATGTTACCGGATTTGTTCCCCGGTTGAAATCATCTTTCAAATGATGTAAATTCATAAGAATATTAAAGTGAAGTTAAAGATCGGATTTGTTCCCCGGTCGAGATAATCACTCTGTGCATAGGCAGAATTAATGGATATTAATTGCATAAATGTTGTTTTGTATAAGTTTGATACGTTTTGTACGAAAACAAATGCCTATTTGTTATGATTGATTAATGAGAACATTCATTTATATTGTTATCTGATTAAAGATAGTTTCATACAGTTCGAAAATTGTATAAAAGCATTTAATTTGCCTAATATGGTCAAAATTGGTGTATTTCATAATTTAATTTTTTCTGATAGCCGAGAGCCGTGCAAAGTTAGTTGTTCACATAGCGTGAGTACACGGAAGCACGCTGGCCACGCCCTTAGGAGGCCGAATATGTAAAAATTTAAAATGTTTGTAATTCAGTGATTTATGTAAAAATTACTTGTAAAATATTTCAGGTTAATTGTACGTGCTAAAAAAGGTAAATTCTGTGTTATTTTCATGTGAAAATTCCTGTGTATAAGTGAAATAATGATAGTTTTGTATAAGAAATTTAAAAGTGTTTTAAATAGTGAAATAAATAGAAAAAATGTAAATTAAACTATTGTATTGGTTAGCTTATGTATAAATTCAAGTGAGAAACATTGTTTTAACTTTCTGTGTTAAATATTTAAGAAATTTCGATTTCGAACTTGTGAGTAAAATAGGCAGTTTTCGTTTAATAAATAAAAGGTTTTTTATGATATGAAGATATGATGTATATCATGGTGTAGATATTGTTTTGTACTACCTATATTGATAAATTGTATTTGTATATGATTTGAATAAATAAAGATATTGAGTGAAACGTGAGAGAGTAATAGTACAAATTCATGTAATTAAGTTGCGCAAGCGCGCAGATGGCGCGGCTCACTTTCGCGTTTAGCTTAGGGGTAGGATAGTAAATTGATTTTATTGCAATTCGTTCGGGAATCGTTCGGGAATCGTTCGGGAAATATTCAAGGAAATCGTTCGGGAATCGTTCGGGAATCGTTCGGGAAATATTCAAGGAAATAGTTCGGAAATAAATAAGAAAATCCGGGAAAAAGTTCAAGAAAAGTGAAAAACCAGCAGTATAGGGAAAAGTGATTACTCTCTCACGGAACGGTTTGAAGATAATTGCTGTTTCATTCCCAAGATCCTTTAAGTTATACAGTCCACATCGAAGAATTAAGGCGTCGGGACCGGGACGACTTCGGAAGACCCGTAATCCCCGTCTGAACCTACTTGCTGAAAAGGAAGAGGTTATCGCCCTAGTGTGTTACTCCGTTGCGGAGATCACATACGTTGTTCCCGAACCCAACGTAGGCGTGATAGGAGGCCGGATCGAGAGAAGCCTCGATTCCTGTTTCTTAGTACCCGATCCGCTAGGTCCTTTTCAATTGGTCCTTTTCAGGATCAAGAGGGAAATCCGACCTGGTCCTTTTCAATTGGTCCTTCGGAGCCGGATTGAAGACCACCCGAACCCCGCCAGCTGGATCAAGGAACCAGCTGTGGACTGCTGGTTGTGGAAGAAGAAGACCTTCGGAAGCCGAGTGAAGATCAGCAACCGAAGGAAGCCAGAGGTTTGAGCTGAAGCAATAGGACCAAAGGCCTGAAGACCAGGACGGCAGCACTGAAGGGCTGGACCTGGAACTACCGGAAGAAAGAAAACCGGGATTGCAGCTTGGGGCGTGTGCTCGCATGGGGCACATATCGCAGCCGGGCGCAGGTGTCTTGTGAAGGCACTCATCGTGGCCAAGCAGGGCTTGGCATTTTTCCTGTCGGGCAAGCGTGCTCGGCATTTCCTGTCAGACGATCGTGTCTGGCATTTCCTGTCGGACGACCGTGTCCGGCATTTCCCGTCGGGTCATCAGGGTGCAAAAAGCATCCACCGCTGCTGCTGCCGGGCGAGGGTGCGCGTGGGCACCTGACTGCATCGCGGCCGGAGGAGGGCGCTTGGACGAGGCGTCACCGGCAACTGGGCGGCGAGCACAGCATACATCCCGACCACCTAACGGTGCCAAACGGTTGGGCTCTGGCATAACACCTTCGGGTGGAGCAGTTCTCTCGAGCGAGACTGCGCTTGCACTACCGCTCGACTGTTTCGTCATATTCCTTGGCGGGACAGTTCCTAAACCTTTCCTCCATTCCATTCCTGCACGACTCCATCCCTGGACGGCTCACCTCGGTAGGCCCCGTTCAGGATTGATAGGGCTGATAGGGCTGTTAGGGTGGTAGTAGGGTTGTAGGGTTGGGAGATAAAGGGGGGGAGGGGTAGTGGTGTTAGGTTGGGGTGTAGAAGGGTTGTAGGTAAGGGGTTGTAGGGACCGTAGGGACTGTAGGGACAGTTAGGGACCGTAGGCCAACAATCACCTTCCTGCAAGATGAAGAAGGCACAAGACCAGACAGGGAGAAGCGAAGGGAGCAGGACAAGGACAGGGCTCTCAAGAAAAGCTAAAGAAGCGGAATCATCTGGAGCGACCACAGCTACTGCGTCAAATGGAGCAACTCCTCCAAGTGGAGCCACCACAGACACGTCCACATGCACGTGGGACTCAGGGACGTCCATAGCAACGACGAGCAACAGGACGGACACCAGTGGTACGCAGGCCAGCACCGCACAACAATCCGTTATATCCAGGAGTGAAACGGTGGTCGAAAAAGTAGGTCAAAGGACCGAAGAAGCGGCATCGTCAAGGACAGTAATCGGGCACACTAGTGATAAAGGGTCACAGAGAGGTAGTAGGTCATCGCGATCGGCGAGGCTGAAAGCCGAATTAGAGGCGCGGATTAAATTCGAACGCTCAGAGCTCGAACGAGCACAGGCAGCTGCTGCCTTAGCCAAGTCTCAATTGGAGTTGGCACGACTCAACCGAGAAGAGGAAATCGACTCGAGTGAGGATGATGAAGAGCGGAATACTCAGGTGGAACCTTTCGTAAGGAGTTGGGTTCAGCAAACCATAATGAGCGCGCCGGTTAGTGTAGCACAACCCGATATTACTGATAAGGAAGCGTGTAAAGGATCACGCCGCAAAGGGGCGGAGGTCGAGCGCAACCTAGGAAATGCACAGAAAACACACGCGAGTGAGGTGTCAGAATTGACCGAAGCGATTGTGAGTGCAATAAAAATAGCTGGTAAAGATAAATCTTCCCAGCTTCATTTCCTCCAGGAATTACCGGTGTTCGATGGAGACCCGGGTGAATGGATAATTTTCAAAACGGTGTTTGAAGACACAAAAGGCCAATTTTCAGGGGTGCAAAATGTCGCACGCCTTAGGAGGGCATTAAAGGGCACCGCTAAAGAGGCGGTTAAGTCGCTGTTATTTACTTTATGTGAACCTGAAGAAATAATGAACGCTCTCGAAAGAAGATTCGGTAGGGTTGAGATGCTCATTCTAGCCGAAATCGAGAATGTAAAGCGTATGCCAAGATTGGCAGAAGATTGCCGAAATACAGGATCTTTTGCAAGTCGTATTACGAACGTGGTTGCCACAATACAAGCGTTGAATCAACCACAGTATTTATACTCACCGGAGTTAGTGAGCCGCATAGTGGAGAAACTTGGAACTATGATTAAATTTAAATGGTTTGAATATCGAGCTCAATATCCTTTGGAGCCAGAGTTACAGAAGATGGCCAAGTTTTTAAAT